CTGGTTTATGCTGGTCCTTTTGCTGGTTTAAGCTGGTCCTTTGCTGGTTTATGCTGGTCCTTTTGCTGGTTTATGCTGGTCCTTTGCCAGCACATGACCAGCATAAACCAGCAAAAGGACCAGCTTAAACCAGCATCCCAACGTCAAAACATACCTAACCAGCATATGCTGGTTTTTTCAACAGGGATAGCAGTAGTTAATGGTCTAGCTTTGCCTCTGTTGTCATGGAAACAGATATACATAACAATAATAAACATGATTTGGCTCTAATTCAGTTCACACGGAAGCATCAATAACGAATAAAATTACTGATATGCAAATAAAATCAATAACACAATATGAAAACATTAGATAAGGAGTTTATCATCGACTCACCAGCAGAGCAGATGCAGATGAGAGACTGAAGCAGCACGTTCACGCTACACGCTCAACTCAGTTTACTCATTCATTAATTTAACAGTGAGAAATACCAACAAACACATAAAACACTTCATGTTCCCCGAAAGTATAAAAGACACATTACAAAAAAATGATATAAAAATCCTTCTAAGATCAAAATTCAGTGGTGCTGTGCTAATTGTCACTGTAAAGAACATGTGTGAATGTTTAGGTGTTTTCTGTTTGATCTTTTTTTTTTTTTACATTGTTGGAACAGTTATTCATAAATTAAGAACTTTAGAAGAAATTTAAACGTACATACATTTTATCTCTAGGTTATTGATCAAATTAACATGAGCAACCTATGCTAATATGGGCGTGGCTAGCTAGCATACACAATTTGATCATGGCTGCAACATCGGGGCAATTGTAACATTGTGTTACAGTTGCTCCCGAGCCACATGGCCCAGTGTAACGCTCCTTGTTTGTCTGTGTGTTAGGTCGAAGCTAGGAGAATACTTTTTGATCAAATAATCAAATACTCGTTGATTAGGTTCTGGGGAAAGCCGCGCATGTGTTGTGGTACTCCAAAATGGCAGGAGAAGAATTGTTGAATAAATTATGTTACTTTTGTTTTCTTTGTGCACAAAAAGTATTCTCGTAGCTTCGCAAAATTGAAGTTGAGCCACTGATGTCACATGGACTGTTTTATTGATGTCCTTACTATGTTTCTGGGTCTGGGAACATTTCAGTTGTGTTGCTGTTGTCTATAGGGTCAGAGAGCTCTCAGATTTAATCAAAAATATCTTAATTTGTGTTCTGAAGATGAACGAAGGTCTCACGGGTTTGCAACGACATGAGGGTGAGTAATTAATGATAGAATTTTCATTTTTGGGTGAACTAACCCTTTAAATTAACCCGACAATGGCATGGTAAGTGACCGGTTTAATTTGGTTTGCATCCATACCACTAGGTGTCAGCATAAGCCAGCACAAAATATCCAGCCAGCACAGGAGTCCTCCTGCAGAAGGCAGCATAATAACATCAGCCATTTATTAACATGTGACTTTTGCGTTAACAGCCTAAAACCATAATGTTTAAACTAGCACAGCCTATATATCATTTAGATGAACAATTTCCATTACATGTAGCCTATTATCAAAAGATATTAAGAAATGTGACTGTGATGGATAAAATCACCAAACAGCTGTTATAAGTGACACCATATCATGCAACAAGTGGCAGCATTAAACTTCTTTAAGTTTAAGTCCTGAATGGAGGATTAATGACATCACTTCACTTTTTCTTCAAAAACTGCCATCAGTCAACACTAGCAAAAGAACAGTCTGTGACACTCAGCTGTGGGTGTGATGTAAACACTGAATGTATTGCACCCTGTAATTTGCTCATAGCTTTTATAGCTGCCCTTTATTTTGCCGGGAGCTATTTGATGTTGAGGTCAAAATTCGTAAAATGTTAAACATGCAGTACTAAGAAAGGCTTTGTTGTGATTCAGATGTCATCAATACATACTTTTACTCAGAATATAGACATTTTAGGACAGTCTATGATTTAGAAATGTTGTAAATGTGGCGGCTCGTGAGTAAGTCATCAGGTTTTGCAGTAGGGTGTGGTAGATGATTGTTCATGTCGAAGCAGAGAGAAAGTATGTAAATAAGGGTGGGCCGACATTAGAGGAGGACAGAAACAGACGCAAAACGCAAGAGAAAAGGACAGGGTGGGATAAAGACACTTTAACCGTTTTTGCTGACTTGTGACAAACACAAACTGGGCTGAAATCAGCATGAATGGGAATTTCTGTTACGAAACACCAAAAAATGTTTTAACATAAATGCAAATGAGTATATTTTTAAAAGATGCTAATACAGGATTTGTTTTCTGAAAAAAATCAGTTTGACAAAAACACAAACTCTATTTCCTTTTTATTGTTTTTTTTTTTATATGAACATAGATCTATGACACTCATGCACATGCATTTTACAATGAAATTATGATTAATTAAAAAAATATACTAGACATTCAATCATCAAAGACTTTGAAAAGAGAACATTCCATGCATTCTTAAAGGTCAGAAAGTTCAAGACCTCTCTGCAGAATCAAGTCTCCATCCGGCATGTCTCAAATATTTATCACTCATAAATCACTCATAACAGTCTATTTCATACACACCAGATTAAATATATTTTGGAAGCGTACCAACCCAAACCAAACATTCAACATCCATAATAAAAAAGTTTATACAAAAAAAAAAAAAAAAAAAGTACACTACATGTAAGTAGAATTGCTTACTATCAAATTAATGCACATATTGCACCATATACAATTACGAAAAATAGAAAAATTCGTAAGTGAACAGAAATGATCTATATGAATTTGGCATATAGTGATGTTTCTTTGTAAAAACATAATCAATTTAGTCAGTGGGTTTAAATGCAACATTTCCATTCAAACATTCAGATGGTATTTTACCATGTGTCCTCATATCATTATAGTTATTATTTGTACACTAAATAATGACACATACTATCTGTACATAGCAAAACACCAAAAAAAAAGAAGAAAACCCACTAGATTTTAAATCAGACTAGTAAGAAATAAGCAATTCTGTTATGACAAGAAGGCTGATTAACAGCCCAAATCTGTCCGGCCTGTGTTTACAGCATTTATGTGTATTATAAAACATATAACAATCTTCTTATATCATCTATACCCTCACAATTCCAATTTTCCAGCTAAAATGTCTTTCCTACCATCATAATACAGATATTTTTCTACAAATATCTAACAAAAGCAACAGTTTTTAAAAGACAGATTAAATTCCTAAGATATAATTATTATATCATGGATAGTTTGTGTTTCTGTATAGTAATAGAAAAAAATACAG